TGTGAATGGCTCTGAGCCTTGTGCGCAGTGTGGCGAGAGAGATAAGGGCAAGGGGACCAGAAAGAACGGGCGGTTCTTCTTTGTTTTTTCCTCTCTCCTTGTTTGGGCTTTCCGCAAAGCATAAGGCCTCCTGGCATCAGAACCAGCGCGTGTGGGTTATTCTTGCCACCTGCTGTCGGTGGTTCTGGTTCATGTTGGCTCCCAAAATTCAGTCATATAATTCAAACAGAAACATTGACAGAAAAGCCTTCCTCATGGGTCTCTAGGTATCGAACACAGTGGCCGGTACTAGAAAGACGAAGAGGAGTGTATCAGTTATCTACTGCCGTCGATTGTGCTGCGTAACAAGCTAGCTCATAGCGGCGGAAATCAGCAACTGTTTATTTAGCTGATGAGTCTACAGGTTGGCTGGATGGTTGTCTGACTTTCATGGCTTAATCAAGTGTCTGTGGTCGGCTCCAGACTGGATGGCCGGTGGCTGTCCTCCGGTGTCTCCCATATCCCGTCAGAGGGCCTGTCCGGCCTGTTCCCATGGCAACGCGGAGGTGGAACAGGAGCCAGAGTGCACGGTAGGAAACCCTGCGTCCTTGTTGCTAGTGTTCTGTCGGCCAGAGGAGCCATATGACTGAGGCCTGAGTTAAGGGGTATGTCCGAATTCCTACCTACAGTAGGAGGAGTGAAGAACTGACCTGAGCTATTAAATAAGTTTAAATAGATCAATAATCAAATAAACTAATTTGGGGAATGAAGAGATGAGTTGTCAGATTGAATAGGAAACAGTATCCAACATATGCTACTTACAAGGAACATACCTAACACATAGTAACCTGGAAAGGTTGACAGTAGAATTATGGGGAAAGAGTATCAGGTAAATATCATCCCAAAGAACGCGGGTAACTGTCTTTATATCAGAGAAAGCACTGGAAGGTATACACATGGTCACAGCTTAAAAAGTTCACCAAGAAGACAGAAGAATTATAAACTTGTATACATTTCATGCTGTAGCATATATTATATATATGTGTGTGTGTGT